ACATATGGTTGGCTAGACTCATTTTCACCTCTAATTAATTTACAGTGTACTTATTCATTGACGTATTGACATTATTTGGCTCGATGGCCTACCTGTTTTATTTTTTTAAATTCCAAATGTCAAGGTCAATTTCAAACTTTTCTTTCATAACGTTACGTCAAATAATATATAAGAAGGAGTGTTCTAACAAACGGATAATCCAAACCTTCACTCGAACTTCTTCTCAAGACATTACTTATATGTTCCAACAAGCTTTGCTCATTAACCCTTTTCAATGAAATTAATATTTTTATGAGGTTTTAAATTCGATTAAATAGACATCTTCTCAACATTCGTAGGTGGGTAATTCCCTATTCTCCCATAATGGGACACGCTAATGTTCAATTACCACTAAATAAAATTATTTTATGTATATGGCCATGTCTTAAGTTGTCAGATGCTCCAATTCCAAACCATAATGTTACTCTTTTAGCATTATTTATTCCAACGTTGATATACATTGATCCTTTATATTTCAGAAAAAAAACTCTCTCGGCTAACACAGCATCTGTATTACGGGAAGATTAGCCGGGAAGACTGGTTAATAATTATAAATCTATTTTTGTCTTGCGCGCCACAAATGAAAAAGATTTAGATTAGTTTACATATCGAATCACAAATTAAATAGATACGGATTACAATGTTCTATCTATACTGGAAACGAATTCTTTTGAAATTTTTTAATATTGGATTGGAGCTAATTAATACGGATATGCCATGCTGGTATACTGTTGAAGGCGATAGACAACCTATTGAACGTGTCCTATAAATAAACAAAATGTAGGTGTTCAGAAAAAAAATAATCAGAAATGTCACTAATCTAGGCATATTTTTTTAATGAAAATTTACCATAAATAGTAAACGTAAAGGCCTATTAAGCGCGAACTACTATTCGAATGAATTCGTTTATTCAAACGGCGAATGCAAACTCGCCCTGATTTTTATACGCGCAGAAAACCGCGGACTTAGGGAAAAGTACGATTTGCATAAGCCAATCAAATCGCCAAACTTCGCTGTGGTCAGTGATCACGGTCGAGCTTAGAATAAACGACCCTTAAAAGATCATCTGAAAATTAAAATAGTAGACTGGCTACAAGATAAGATTTGATTTAGAGGGTTTCGCCAAATCAAGTGAACTTGGACATAAGAGTACATTATTATGTCTTGACAATCAGAGTAGAATGTTTTCATAATAATTCAGAGCCAATAAAAACAAGTTTTAAAAAGTGTTAAATATCGAATGTTTAAATAGCCGACACATTTTTCAGCTTTAGCTATTGTTATCAGTGTTTTTGCTATCATACACATTCTGACCCAGCAGACAGTCTGGTCTAAATTATCCCATTAATGTCAACAATATAACCGTTTTAACTGTAAACATAACATGATCAAAATAACAAGACACTTCAACAATGGATTCATTGATGATAAATATGTACATGATTGATTAGTTCTTATCTAATAACACCTGATTAAAACAGTACGCTAGGACCTTTCCATGACTGGTGGGCTCTAAAGTCCAAATTAAATTTGGTAAACAACAGTCTACTATTAATAGCCAATATTATTGTCTCAGATATTAGGTCAATATCCAACAGGTTGAAAATTCTTTAAGTGGTGAATCATTAGAATTTAAAGCGGGTATGGATTATCATGTAAATCTGATATGTGTCGTCTGCAAATACCAAAAGCCTTATTCACCAAAAAACTTTAAGGATGTAGCTTTTGTATTGGCCAAGCGATAAAACTGCGGTCTTACAATATTTAAATTTTTCCGAGAATAGGATCGCAGATGTTTAGCGTAATATTGCGTCATCTATACGAGATATTAGATGGACTGGACATGACCATTAACTGGACTTCATATAACAACTGATTTGAAATGTTGTGAAAGACAGCGCCTCCCTATTGGCTTATTAAAATGCTAATCCCAACGCCGTTTGCCGTCTTCATTAGCCCAGTTCGGAGTAGAACAGTAGGACGTCAAACCCCATTTTATTTCATTTCCTAACGCCGTTTGTGAAATATCTGATTTAGAACAAGCTGTGTCTCATTAATAAATACTGACAATATATTATCTTTAAAAATAAAAATACTTCAAACACGTGTTTTAACCAAATCAGCTTAACATAGATTAAGTGGGGGCAAATGGGTATTTAAAAAAGATAAAGAGAAAATAAATAAATAAAAAAATCCACGAATGTCCCGTGATAAACATAGTTCGTTCCAGTATGTCAACTATTTGATAAATATAAGCTGCTCCAGTATTTCAACTATTTGAACTAGGCCATATGTACTTATATTATCGTTATTATGGTCAACTCGAGAAATATGAATTAACATAACACTTAAAATTATTTTGTAATTATACCTTATTCTTATGAAGTGTACAGATAAGTGTACTTCTAGATCGGCCATATTTACTAGATGTGGATCTCTTATGGACGGCTGACTCGACTGGATTCCGTACTTCTCGTCTAGGTCGGTTTTCAAGTAGCTTAAAATGCACTAACACTATTTTATGGAATAACAATCCATAGTTTATTAACATGCAACGTTTCGACGATGATACTCTCGTCTTGCTTGATAAAGACGGGAGTATCATCGTCGAAACGTTGCATGTTAATAAACCAGTGATTGTTATTCCATAAAATAGTGTTAGTGTGTTACTGTTACTAAATGCCACTTAAAGCAGTAGCTTAAAATGATAAATAAATAGAGGGTATGAGCCATACGCCTTGGTCATGAGTCTGTAATGTGTGCTGCAGATTAAATTTATGGTGCAGTTATGGCGCAGTGGTCCAATATTAGCACTCGTTAATATTGGTACTGCCTGTTCACTTGTGCTGGACGAAGAAAACCCTCTGTCGGAAAGTAAGGGGTGCTATCTAAAACTAAATAAGAGAGCACCATCTGAAAGTGATCGAAGTAAGGAACACTTTACTAACATGAAGTAAGGGAAACTATCAAGTAAGGAACAATGTAAGGAAACTATCAATGAAGGAACACTGTCTGAAAGTAAGGGAAACTATCAAGTAAGGAACGCTATCTGAAATTAAGGAACACTTTCTGAAAGTAACGGGCACCATCTGAAAATAAAGTAGGCCAAACAATTATTCTCTTATAAATTCCAAAACAGCTGAGTTCAAAGCTGAAACTAAAATATAAATAGTTTGCTGAGATGTCAGTTTTTACCTTGTGTCACACTTTTATATGTTTTTGTAGCATGAAAATATAATTTTTTAACTTGTAATCTTTGAGTTTGAAAGATTGTTTGAATTATCTCTATGTGGTCATTGCTAAGTAACGGCGAACAAATAAAAAACCGAATGTTATACATAATACAATGACTTAACATGGCGTGCTCTATTCATCTTTGTCAAAGGCAATATATTTTTTACGCTTTATCTGCATATAAAACCTATCAAAGATAATTCAGTTTTCTAGAATCTGAAATAACATATCGCCCTTTAATTTTTTTTTGTAAACAGTCAATTCGTCATTAAACTGTTAATACATAGATTTCTATAAGCTTCAGTTATTAATGAGAGTAATTAAAAAACAATTGAACCGTCTGATGTTTTAGAAAAAGAATAGTCGAATCGCTTGATATTTATGTGAACTTTTGTTATTATAGTGTAATGAGAATATTTCAATCGTTTTTTTTGTTAATGAGCACAATAAGAAGAGTTCATTCGCTTGATATTTATGCGAGCTTTGAATATTAAAAAGTACAAAAATATAGCTAAATCAGTTGATATTTATGTGAGCTTTTATTATTAAAGAAGGCAACATAAATAGCTGAATCGGTTGATATATAGTCATGTGAGCTCTTATTATCAATAAGAAAAGTAGAACATTCGGTTGTCATCGGCATTCAGAAACAAAACTTAATGGTCGATGCATTATAGCCCGTTGAGGCGCTTATTTTAAAACCAGTTCATAATCGCTGGGGGTTTTAAGACAGCATCGTTTTGCGTTCACACGTACTATATATAAGCCAAACCAGTTTAAAGGCTCAATACCACTCTTGTTGTAACTGAATAATATGTCCCAATCTTTATTCTAGTCAACAAATTGTACTATTTTACAATATTACAATTAATTGATGATACAAATTTCATCCTAACACACCTAATTTAAAAAACTGGAAAAATTCAACAAAATGATTTGAAAAGCCTGGCGTAAAGCTTTTCAAATGTGATTTGGATTTAAAAATATTTTTGAACCCTTTGGACAAGTAAAATAGGATTTAATGGATAATTTACACACCAGGTAGGACACTCACACATCTAGTACTTAGAATAAGGCTATTTTTTTATTTTCTGGAGCTGTCAAGCCAGCTAGAGTGTCATTGTCCCTTTAACTATTCTGACCTCTTCGGTCGGAGGTTAGAGTTAACTACGCTTCATATTCTTTATTCGGTTCTCGCACGCTTTCGATAACATTGGCACTGTCTGACCCCGATATTTTAACAGGAATGTAACTTACTGCGTACTGCGCATGATCAAAGTCAGCTGGAGCCGTTTTTTTTAAGCCAACCCGTTCAGACGGCTAAGATGAACCAGTTTAAAATAAAAAAAAAAAACCTTCTCGAAGACTGGTCGTGAGCTGGGGTTTTAAAAATGGTTTATTTGCCCCACATGTGCGTTCAGACGCTTAAGTTACACTGGTTTAACGATTCCCGGGATTTTTAAACCATTTCAATTTAAGCGTCTGATAACCAATTTGGAAAAAAAACCCCAAACATTTTAGGCTATTAATCCAAATACTTATTTTGAAGTGATTAAATCAAAAAGGCAATTCTCTCTAATAGCATATCCATAGAAATGCTTTATATTCGCGTAGAAATAAAGTTGTGACTTGCTTTTGTTTTATCAATACACCAATGAAGGGAGTGGGTTGGGTGGGGAATCCAAAGCTAAACTGTAACTTATGTATTTTTATATTGTATTTTTCAGACGGCTCGCGATGAAGACGACGAGTTCCCTTTGTAAAAATCTACAGGAAGTAGGGGCAGATAACCCAACTATTCTTCCTGATATCACAACATGGCAAGACAGGACGGTAGGGGCGTGGTCAGTAGTGCGGTGTGGCGGAGCTTGGCGTAATTTGTTGTTTGCCTTATATGGACATCCTCTATTTTTGTTGTGAACCCAGTATTGGGTGACGTCATCTTTGTTTTAGTGTGACCATCATTAAAGTAAAAAGTTTATTGTTTTGCTCAAGACCTTTTGAGTTCAATGAAGTCACCTGTGTCAACAGCAACTTAGTTTGTTGGCCAATTTTTGTTAATTTTTAACATATCTTCTTTGTGGCCAAAAATACAACATCTTATTTTATTATTTTGTAATATATTATAACGATATGTGTTTTACGAATAGAGTTGTTCCATAATTTATTTTTAATTTAATTTTAATTGTTTCGAACGACTATTTATAACCTACTGGTGATCTGTTTTGATGAAAGTTGGAAAAATGAAAATAAATTATGCAAATAATGGACATTCGAGTTTGTTTACAAATTAAATGATTGACAGAGACAAACCTGTGAGGTGTTTGAAGACAGGGTCACTTTTCGCTTGTCTGAAATTATAATGGTGGACAGAATAGGCTGTTCGAACCTGCCGACGCTTGGGCATACATCTGTCTGGGATAATATTTGAAGAACTTGGCTGTACATTTGCCTGGAATAGCATTGGGAGAACTTGTGTCTATATTTGCCTGGAATAGCATTGGGAGAACTTGTGTCTATATTTGCCTGGAATAGCATTGGGAGATCTTGTGTCTATATTTATCTGGAATAATATTGGTAGAATTTGGGTCTGTTTGGTATAACAATTAAAAGGCTTGGGATTGTACCCGGCTAGAATAATACGGGCAAAGATTGGGTCTTTTAATAATTTAAATGAAATGGGTTTTGACGTCCTACTGCCCTGCCCCAACTGGGATATTAAAGATGGGTATACACTATACATTGTACTGTGAGGGAAATTGCACGGACAGCTGTAGCACCCTCGGTCTTTTGTCAGACGTGGAGAGCGGACACGTACTAAAACCGGTCGCCACATCTTACATACGACCCATGCATCTTTCTTACTACATATTTCTGTCGCCTTATGGTCGTCTAGAATTTGTCTCTAGCTGGGTTTACCTCTGCTTCACGTTGTGTATTTACTTCTTACATATTCTTAAGACGTTTGTCTTACCAGGAATAAAAATGCAACAGTTTGCTTCTACATTTTATATAGCATAGCCGAATACATATGGATACAAGCTTAATAGATAACAATACTAGCTAAAACCATTTCTCAACCCTATCCAGGCTCGCGGCTGTCTAGCAACTCAGATGGAACCTCTCTGGAATCTAATGGAAGTCTGACTTACAGAGTTCCACGGTTTCTTTTAAAGGCATATGAATATCATGCACAATAAAGTGTGATCATGGCCCTGAACTTGTGTAATTAACAAAATGATTGGTTACTTTAAACCCAATGACGCAATAGTACTTTTCCTTGCACATGTACTCTCTGTGATATTTTATAGACACATGTTTTGGTTAAATAACTCTTTTTTATATAACAATATGTCATTTATACCATAAGTTGATTTAGTACACACTACATATGTGAATATGTTTGAAATTACTAACTTGCCAAAGATATTCATTAATGAAATATAAAGTCATTTTATTTCTCTATTCCTTGTCTATAAATTTAAAAACAATGTGGCAACGACGATAGTGTTACACAGCGGCACTACGGTCTACCGTAAGAGGTCTACGCTACTGGATTTTGCATATCATCATATGGGCCTTTGTAGTATGTATTACCATTATTTTATACGAGAGACAGGATACCCCTTATGCTATTTTAATCCAACAAATGTTAAATAAACTTAAGCTAAGTTATCTATAATTTTTCGATCAGAAAGTATCCTCCGAAAGCCTATCCAAATTAGTTTAAAAAGGGAGTATATTTGTATTATAAAAATACTTGAAGATGTATTAACTCGAGTCCGTATTTAATCGGGTTCTAGCTGATATAGCCCCAGTTACATAATCAATAAACAATATTTTATTTCATTTGAAGTTGGATTAAATTGGGGCCTCATGGCAGATTCGATAAAGAGTCGACAGTTCTCGTTATAATAGTTAAAACATCGATAACGGAAATAGAATATGCTGAAAATTTCAGTCAAATTCCTCCACTCTGAACCGAGATATTAGCTTTTGAATTTTAGGCTAGCATCGATCATCATTACTATAAAAAAAAGCAAAGTCTCGATTATCCACTTTTACGTTCAATTATTTTTCAAAAAAATGTATTTAAAAAAAATGTATTCCAATCCGCTAAATATCACAGGATAGCGATGACATCGAGAGTTGATTATGATCTGGATACGTTAATTAATGTCTAATTAATAATTCAGATAACATTTCAGGGCTAATTTAAGAACGGTTAAGTTAATTAATGTCTAATTAATAATTCAGATAACATTTCAGGGCTAATTTAAGACCCGCAATAGGCAGATTTAGCTCCTAGTTTAAACAATATTTTATTCATTTGAAAAGGATTGAACAACAGGCAAAGCCTATATAAGTTCTTTGCCAGGAATACAGAAAATAATAAACGACAAATATAAACATATACATAAAAATAAGATTAAATATAATAATGCATAATGTATGCTTAGCAGGCTAAGCCGTACGTTCACATCCATCTTGACTTATAAATTATAATTGGAATCTGTTAAACCTATATACAATACGGGTGATGTCAAGATTGTCATTCGAGAATAACTAATTAATGATCCATTAAATTTTGCAATTTTGGTCGATCAAAAGTTCAAATTTTTTCCATGATTTCCACGAAGAGTAGCAGCTGCGATTAGAGAGAGTATATACAAGATGTGGTTAACTAAAATTTACTACACTTTTAAGTTCTGACGGAGGTGTTTACATCAGCCAAACCTTCGGGGCAGCGAAGCCAATTTATCTTTATTGGATTGACCTTTACGACAAAATGAAAGAATGTCTGCCCTAATATTGGTTAAGCAATAAATATAAAATATGTTCATTAACATAGCCGAGCTTGGCATTGCGGAACTCATCCGTCAGAAAAAAAAAATATGAAAAACACAATATATTAGAATATTAAAGAAAAATTATGGGCCTTACTAATCATCGACAAGGACCAACAAGAGTGTACATGTATATCGGAAAAAAGTGACAGAAAAGGAAAGATTTTATATACGCATATTCTGGATACCATACCCAAAACTTATATGATTTAAAAAAAAATGACAAAATTATGGATAAGAGAAATCGACAAAAGGTAGGCTAATGTCGATCCTTTAGAAATTTGAAAAGATTGCCCGATTATGTTTTAATCAAAGTTTCCAGTGTAATGCCATATATCATCTGCCTGGAATTAATGTTTCGTAAGTGGGTGGATACAAAAGTGCAACACATATTGTGAATCTACCTAAATTCATCAAATGCTAAGTGGTATCAAGTGTTCTTGAAAAAGTAAATATTCCTTTACTAGTGGTATTCGTCGCGTTATATCCATCATGTCTGAAGACAGTGGGTTTAACGTCCACTCGACACAAACTGTCACTGTGGGGCTAACATATGGTTCAATTTTATTTCAATAATTCGATTTCGGGGAGGGGTCTTTAGCAGTTGCAGGAAACCCACGAGCTTGGCCAGGTGACCCCACTCCTTGTCGAAACTACATCACTTCACTCAATGACAGACCCTGTGATCTAACGCGCACGCCTGACTGAGAATATTTGAACCTCCTCTCCCCTCTCCGTCGAATGTGAAGACCTGTTATAATAAATGTCGACCCCAAAATTGAGACTTGTACGCCCATAAAAGTTCTAAACCCTCAACTCAATATTTTCCATAACACGAATTAGAGTTGCATTTTGGTGCGTTTCAAACAATATTTTATGATATCTTGCTGTGAAAATATGAGATCCTAATATCGAATATTTAAGACACGATGAACATTTTATTGTCAATAAACAAGTCGTGTATTCTATGCTTTCGTGCGCCATTTGCATTGAACAAAGAAAAACATATCCTGCAAGACAATGCGGAAGTAATTAGTAATTGGTGATTCACAAACGACAAAATGATAATAAATAAAACTGGTAGAATGGATTTAGCCGGCGTAAAATAATTGTCGTTGAATTTGGACTGTGCATGTATTTCGCCGAACATAACTGATAACAATACGTTTTAAAAAACCAACAAAAAACCCCCCAAAAACAATTGAATATAAATGGAATATAATATATTTATGTTACATTAATAGGTGCTTTTAGACGCATTAAGGTTCTCAAGAATAGAGCTATACGCCCTTTAGGTTTTCATATAAAACAATAGAGGCGTTAAGATGATATATATATATATTATATATATATATGTAGCATTAATGTTTTTCTGAGACGAAATTCGCCAGTATACTGGAAATAATACAACAATGGACCAGAAAATAATAAGTATTAAGACATCTCTAATTCTTTTGTCAGAATTTCCTGAAATTAGAAATAAATACACCTAGGGACCAAGCAGACTATACAGATACATTAAAAGAGTAGATATCTGGAATAATTATTCGTCTCACATACTAGTGTTATTAACCGGAGATAAAAGCTCGCAAATAGAGACAGTTGTAGGAAAGCAATTACAGTCATTCGTCATTATACTTGACTTAACACAGCTGGAAATAAATAACACATTGAACCTATCAAATTATATATCACATATCCACCCTTATTGTCATTTTATCTACAGCAGCTGTAATTATCTAAGTATCATGTACGTAAAATACATATTGATAATCGTCTGCGCGACAGATTAAATGTATACATTATAGATTGTCAAACCTAGGAGATCGTTCTGAAATTCTGGCAGTTACTTACCACCAATATAATTTCTGTAAGCAAGATCTCGTAAAATGAAGTTGAAACCTTGCAGACTTACATAAGTATATATACGATACATAATCACAAAAGTTGCTTCCCAATACTGGCCCAGGCCAGGAACTATGTTTGGAAATTTTCGATAAATATGATTATTTCAATTTTCATGTTTTCAATTTCAACCCCATGTGCAGGTACAATAAATATTACCCCAATTTTTTATCTTACGTTATGTACCATTTCTCAGTCAAATGCTAAGATACACCGTGCATATTTTATGAAGACCAGCAATACACGTCCATGTACACACGTGCAGTAATATCCCAATTACCATCTTACTGGAATGCCACCCCTCAACTAAACCGCTATGCTAGAGAGCGCATAATGAAGACCAGCTGTACAAGTGCAGTAATATCCCAATTACCATTTTACAGGAATACCATTTCTCAGATAAACCGCTTTGTTAGAGTAATATACCCAATTACCATCTTACGGCAATACCATTAATCAGATAAACCGCTATGCTAGAGTAATATACACAATTACCACCTCTATTGTCCACATTTTCA